CGGTTGTTAATAAGCGGTCGGACCGCGATCTGAGATTTGTCGACGGGAGATCGGAAGCAGCAGATGGCAGAAATGGGCCTCGTAGACGAGCTCCAGTCTCATCACGTTGCGTGCTTCCTCAGCACGCTCCTGGACCTGCGCAAAGATTTGTTTGGGCTCACTGTGGCAGGTGCCGACCTGGTGACCCGTGGTCCTTGTCGTAGCTGTCTCCCATGATGGCCTGCACGGCACATTGATAGTTGACCGAGGAAGCAGGGCAAAAGATGGAACAAGATGCGAGCCAGGCTGCAATAAGAAAGTTCATCATCACCTAAAGCCATGTTCAGCTCCAGGGGAAAAATCAAATCAGTTTGCTGCCGACTCCTTATACCGCGTTATGCAAACCTCCCTTGGCGAAGTCACAACCAGCATAACCACGACGCAGCTCATCAGCATCAGTCGCGCCACCCATGCCGAGTCATCCTTCGAGGCTCTCTTGACTCTTGAAGTCTGACTCTGGGAGCTCTGGGAGCCCTGTGTCACAAGTGTCAAAATCTGCCAGGCATCGGCACCGCCCGGCGGAGGGTCGGCGTCACCAAAGACGCCGTGAACATAGACATACCACATCATTTCACCAATTCCCACCACCGAGAAAGGCTGGTCGTAAAGCCTCTGCGGCGCAAACACATGATAACGTTTCTGCCTGCTGGCATCGTGAAAGCCGCCGGAAGTGCTCTTGCCAGGCCGCAGCAGGAAGGCGAAGACAAAGGTCAGCAACATCAGCAGCATGAGGCGGAAGAAAACGGCCATGTCCCAAAAAATAGTGATCAGGGTCCTCATGAAGCGACCAGTGCTAGAAAGTGCATGACTGCAGTGGTTACTTACACATGCCCGACAACACTAGCAGTGTCCTGACGAGGTGGCCGGTGTTGGGAAATGCGCGCAGGAAGCTGATCAGCCTCCGTGGCTCGGAAAGCAGGCGACCCCATGACCCCACGAGCCTCCAGCGCCGTCAGCCTTGAGCAAACGAAGACGGTCGTTACAGCCAAGAGGTCCTTGCCGTCGCCCAGGAAAACACCTGGAGCTGAGACTGTCTGAGAGTGACTCTCAAGAAGATCATGCAACCGCATCAGGAAGCTGGGAGTTCTGGGAGCATCCGATGTCATCCTCCGGCCATGCCGCGTGAGACAAAAGTATCGTGCGGACGCCGTATCGATGGTCAGCCACGGATGGGCACACGCTTTGCAAGTGCACCCGTATCTGATGGCGCCGTCCCGTTCGAATACGGACCGCGAGCAGTGAGACAGAATCGCAGCAACACAACAGTCGCAGGTAAGTTTCTGCTGGACGCCCCCGCTCTGAACATACAGCCGTCGTCAGATTGAGGATCCTCTCCCTCAGGCAGAGTGTCGGAGCCACCAGCGAATGCCCTGCAACGACGTAGTCTCGCACGATCTGGTACGTGTACATTTGCCACTCTAGGTAGGCATAGCCCAAGAAGCTTGTTGCTACCAGGAGTAGTCCTGAACTGGGAACGTCCAGCCGATGAACGAACCCACGTCCACATCGCGGCTCCTCTGCGAGCTGAACGACTGCCGAAGACAGCTCCTGTCAAAGGAAGGACGATAATCTGCGCAATCCAGATTGGCCCTGGCTGTCCACCTCCCACCCAGGGGGTTTCAACACAATGCAAATGCCACTATGAAGTCCCAGAATGGTTGGCTGCTGCGTTTTTTGAGCTTCTTGTGCGCGGTGCACGGTGTTCTTCGCGTGCGGCAGGTTTGACGGAAAACCAGCTGCCAAATCCATCCTCGCCCCAACCTCTCGCACGACATCGCGGATTTTGCCGAGGATCGGGTGCTGCCAGGTCAAGAAAGTAAAAGACCAGCCAAGCGCACAAACATCCACCAAGAAGCCGTCAGTCTCCGATGGGCTGGGGCAAGTCCGCTTCAGCAATCCAAAGGCTTGAGTTGCAGCAGCATCAACGAAGAGCAGGCCAGCTGCAGACAGTGTCGCACAGCTTTACAAAGTGTTGGCTGCCGCCTGTAAGGTGGATTCCGGCATTTTGTCAACTGAGCGCCTCCCTATGGCATCGAACACAGGTGCCTTTATATGCACCGTGCTGGCCGTCTCCCACACTGTATTGGCAGGGTTTTGGACATCGGATCCGCCAACCGTGTCTTGCACGGCATCCCCGATTGCATCCATCAACCTGCTGCCAAGCATTGCTGAATTTCTAGTTGACCGAATCGTATTCGAGAGCTCTTGGGCATTGTGCTCGGACAGTCGTTCCGCGCTGGCTTGCAGTGATACCTCAAGAAGAGCTGCATCATATGCTACCAGCGTTCCGAAGTCCCAAGCCGCGTTGGAAGCCTCTTGTGGTCCACGTGTCTCTCTACAACAGCCAACAGTACAGTGGCCAGGAGCTGACGGAAGCGGCCGGCCTTTCGACAGCAAGGTGCTCGACGCCTGCACAACATTGGAGACATTCTGCATATTCAGCTGATGGGCTCTGTCCTGAGCGATGTTGGACAGGGCAGCCGGCAAAGCCCGGCAAACAATCCCGGCAGCGCCAAACGCCCAAAAAGTGAGTGCAACATCTTGGCACGGGGCTCCATCTTCCTCCGGACATGCCCTCCCGAAGTCGCCCACGGCTGCTTCGGCGGCAAAGGCAATCCCCGTAGACAGCGACTCCCGTCACGCGGCTGGGCTGGCATGAGCCCAAGCTGCAATTGCAGGGTGCCTCGGCTTGAACCACGCCAGTAGCTTCATGGAAGCCTCCCCAAAGGCGTCTGACGCGGGCATGCTTCTTTCGAGAATTGTCGCAAATCTCCGAGCCATGGATGCCGGGTCCTGCGGCGTAAGCTGTTGCAGCTTCATCACTGCAGCTTCAAGGGTTGCTGTCCAAAGCGTAGCATTCGAAAGTGCGGCCTTCCTGGGCCTTCAGCCTCCGTTCACGAGTTCCTGGACTGGCCAAAGCGGCCAATTTGCTCTGAGGCCCGGTCCCTGCAAGAGCAATCGGCCAAAAGTGGCTGTCTTGGCCAGCCTCCACCCAGCATTGGACATGTTCTATGGGTTAGAATGATGCAACCTTTGCAGGGATGTCGTGGTCAAAGTCGCAATCGAGGGCGATCCTGAGTAGCGCAAAATCCTGCATGTCCACAAAGCATTGCTCAGACCTTGTGGGCAGAGTTCACTGCCGCTTTGCTGAATCAGCCCGCATGCGCGCGCTACCGAAGCTTCGCCGCGGAGAAGCAAAGATGCAAGTGCCCACAAGGAGTTGGAAAGCCAGCGAGGACCGCAGACAGCTTCACCATCTTGCAGGTGCCTCCAACATGCATCTATGAGCATCCAGAAGCGGTTGTCTCGCTGCAGGGTTCATGGAGTCTGTGCACACTTTGCCAAGCGGTTCAAGCATGTGGCGATATGTACAGCTCCGAGCTCTGAATGATGAGTTTCCACGACCCTCAGGATCGGGTCTACGTGCTCGAAGCGGGCAATGGCGGAGTTCCACGACCGAGCCAAGTCATCTGCCGTGTCCCTGCGGCGTAGATTCTGCGCTTCGGCCATGGCTCCCCTCGAAAACCCCGAACATGTGCGGCCTTCGCTGTCGAGTTTTCTTTTGCAAACAGACACATCATACAGAAAAACTGCAACTGTCCGTGAGGCCAGGTATGGGCTGCCGTCTTTGGCCAGAGCCTTACCCCTGGTTGCCAAAATGCAATCGAGCGAAGAGATCGTCAGCTTCAAGATCCTGCATGAGGCTGTTATATACCCGCTTTCATGGAGCGGCCTGCTCGGTCTAGGACGCTCCAAACCACAGCCGTGCTGACCAAGGCCTTACTTGGCTCGTACAAGCCAGTCATGTTGCCTAGCTATTGACGGGTTTCCTAAAACCCTACAGCACCCGCAAGAGAACGGCAAACGCAGAAGCAACCATGTGGACCAGCAGGGTAGGGTAGGCTGCAAACACCAAGCAATAGAATCTGTTCAGACCCGGCTGCGATTCGCACAATGTCCAAGTTATTCCAAGTTGTAAAATAGCTGAGCACTGCCCGCATCTTCTCCACCATACTCTTTGCTTCCTCAAGGGATCTTCAGGGCGTGCTCCAAAGAGGGAGCCATACAAACCACAACATCAGCACAGCACACGGCTTCAGAATGCTTCAGATCAGCTGTGTCTCCGCTCTTCGAACCTCGTAGGCGAGTTGCTTCCACTCCTTCCGACTCTCCGACGTGTCCCCCTCTGCTAAACACAACATCGCCGCGACCCATGCGACTCAACCGGCCAACTCAGAAAATACGAGGAACGTGTTATGATTACACACGTGTCCTCGTATAAGAAGAAGAGTTGGAATATCACAAGGACAGCCTGCAAGCTTCATGTGCTCGAGGGACATCTGTCAAGCAATGGACTGCCATGTCAGTGTTCGCCCAGGCGCGCGGAACATCTGGAAAGAAAAGCCTCTGATTGAGCAACTGACGCAGATGTTGTGTGTCAGTGTTGCTTACCACCGTGGCCGCAGCTCACCGAGGCCAACAGGCTTGACCGGAGGACCCTTCTGAGGCCCACCGTGCCATCCCCCAAGACATGTTTCGTGCCCCCCTCTCGCCTGCCCGTGGTCTTGAATGACTTGGAATGGCGCCGAGCTCCAATGTGCAGCAAGACAACGATAAGCTAGGGCCGCCGAGAGGCCGACCAGATTGTTAAAGTCCTGGGCTTCGTCTTCTGGAGGCCCAGGATCCGCACAGCTTGCACGGCCCGTTATGCACCAGCCAGCAAATCCCACCAAATATATCAAATACAGCACCAATTCAAGACGAAATTGCCTGCTTTTGCCGCACAAAGAATGGAAGACTTGACGGAGCACCGCATGGACATTGCCCCCATGCCTTCGCCCGACTTTTGCCCACTGCTCTTCCAGCAGGACGTGGACGAACTTGGTCCGCATTATCTCTTCGTGCTCCGACTCCTCAACACATGCTCGCATGTTTGCCTGTTCAGTTTGCTCATGTTCCTAAGAGTCTTCTTCCTCTTGGTTCTTGGCGCCTTGAGTGCTGGGATGAAGCCCACGTCGTCATCTAGGGCACCCCGAAGGTACCATACTCGGATTTCGACCGGCCGCTCAGGCATGTGCACATCCTCGCGAGGGTGCGCACTCTGGCAGGAAGGCGGGAACGTTTGCAGCACTCGTCCTCAGAGGTTGGCACCAGACCTGCCAGGAAAGTTCAGGAACAGCTCTCCATCTCAGCAAGTTTTCCACAGTTCTGCCAAGACTCCTTGAAACTCGAATGCTTCGGGTCGGAAAACCGGCGCACTGTAGGCTCTGATCATGAACTCGTTCTCCTGCCATTGCCACTTGCAAATGCAAGTCGACGGTGCATTCCCGGAGTCGCACAGGGTGCCTTCAGAGCAGCCCGCGACGGCAGAACTTTGAGTTTCTCTCCCGCCCTCGTCACTTCGAAGTGCCGCGGCCTGCGCAGCTGCGGCTCCAAAAAACGCGAGGCCTTTCGATTGGTCTTGTAACTCTTGCATGTGCGGATACAAGTAGCGGCAACATGCTGAGAGCCTGCAGCCGATTCGGAAATGTCTACATAACGTCCCGTCTTTCTGCTTAAGACATCTTGAACGGATTGAATTGCCACAGCTGTTTATTGGGCATGCAGGCATGTCCCGTCCCTCCAACATGTTGCATTTTCACAGGGGCGAGATCCGCCGATGCCCTCGTCGACGATCTATAATCGCACCGCATGCCAGCCAAGCTCAACACGTGATTGAAAGGCTTGCAAACAAACAACCGCAAAGATAAGGGCGCATGCCGCAGTCTGTGCACGTTCATTCCAAAGTGAAGGTTTGTCACCAGGTGTCTCTGCCGACAGGAACGAGGCAAAGGCAGGCCGTGAATTGCTGCCATTGCATTTCCGGTGAATGGCGTTAGCTAGGCAGCCGGACGTACTTTTATTTGTTTTCTGTCGGCAAATGAAAGCTTCCATGCGGCACGCACAAATGAAAAAACTCGCAGGGCCGGCCCACCATGTAAGGAAGGCCAAGCATTTCGACATCGACCGACGACTTCTTCAGCTCGCATTTCGCATCTCGCGCGTCTCAACAAACGCATAGAACAGCTAGAGTCTTTAGCCATGCACTTGCCAAGTCTATTCTGTGTGCCGCACACTCCACAGCAGACCGTGTCGAGGAAGTCCGGAAGAGTTGCCATTCTGTGACGCAACAGCCGCACGACGGTTTGTGTCAAAGCCTTCAGGGGGAAGAGGCCAAGCAGTCGTCCAATCAATCTTCGCACGCATTGCTGCGCCTGGTGCTCTGCTGGCAGGCTGCAGGCAAGCAGCGCCTTGGCTACAAGCTGATACCCGAACGCCCTTTAATGGCAGCAAATTGCAGCAAGAGCTCCCTGCCCAGAATTTCTGCATTCTCACCAAACTGGTCCCAGGCATGGCCGTACTCGACATGGTGCCTCTGCTCCATAAGGACCATCATCAGGTCCTGCAAAAAAAGCACCCACCTGATCTCGAGATCTCTGGACTCTCGGTCTCCCAAGATGTCCGGCCTCTACGACTCCAAACTCGTGATGCTGTAGTGCGACATCCAAAGCCTCCGGCACAGAAGATCTGGACAGCGGGAGAGCGTTTGAAGCATGCCGCCGGGTGGCATTGCGGCCAACGGCATCACGCTGGAACGGCGATGCTGACAGCCGGACAAGCAAACGAGCGTGCTGAGCCTGACCACGGCAGGCGCAGCAGTGAAGCAGCGTCCAGCCTCACGCAGACAGAGCATCTTCCAAACAAAAACCCAGAGAGTCTGAAGAAATCTGATTATCAAAACAGCGAGCGAGCTTCAAAAAAACTGACTAAACAAAAAAAAACCCTCAACGAGCCTGATTGCGGGAGCTGCTGGTGCAGGAGGCTTGGCAGCATCTCCAGCTGGGCACAGAAGGCCGAGCTTGCCTCGGCTCCGTCTTCGAAAAACTCACCCCCTTTAAGGACCCCCACTTCCCCTTTTTTTAAAATCCTTGAATCTAAGTTACACCGGGCGAGCTGCCCCCGCCTTTTATTTTTTTTGGTTCAAGTCCTCTTGCGTGCAGGGTCTCTGCTCTTTTGTTGGAAGGAGAGCCTATAAATACAAAGCTTGCTTTACGAGAGTGTCTACATGCTGAGGCTTCTCTACCAAGCGCTCAATTCGGAGGTTCCAGGTCGGAGGTTCCAGGTGAGGCTCGGCAGGGTCAGAAGGCTTGGAGTTTTTGTTTGCCACCTGCCAACCGAAATTTGCCGCAGGGACTTACAGCCAGCTTTGGAAAAGCACTGAATGGTTGGGCTTTGAGGTTGGAATTTGATGTAAGGATTGAAAGAACGTGGGACTGCAAAGACTAGAGCCAGAGGGAGATAGACTGCAGGGGCTTCAGATTATCTTAGGGCATTGTGCGGGAGTGCAGCACTGCAGAGCCTACACAGAACTTCCGCGGTGAACCCCCAGTCTCAAGCTCGGGAGAGCAGCACAGCACAAGTTGCTGTAAAAGAATGATGGCTCAGCCGGGACACATCGTCAGCCTTCATCTTTAGGTCAGGCAGCATAAACTCGAGCGACGGGTTGAGGAGGTCATATACCAGAACGGACCGATCTCCACGCGGAGCTTCTTGCTCGGGTGACTCCATTGGATGTTGGAGGCAAACCGCCTTAAACAGCTGCTCCCCTTTCAAGATGACATCGCAGACATGTCCGCTCAAGGAAAGCACTCGATGGGCTTGTACGCGCATATGCACAACATCGTTTTCGGCACGATGCCGTCCCAAAAGGAAGAGGTGGACTCGTCCTGCGTTGTCCCCAGCAGCCAACAAGCGGCCGGAGTTCGCAAAGCGTAGGACAGATGGTGCCAATTGCGAGAGCTGCTTTCTTGGCAAAAGGTCTGCGTCTGTAGGCTCGCTAATATCAAAAAAAGTGCGGAAGCCACACCGCACTTCATGCACGACGATGCGGGAATCTGAGCCACTGCTGGCCAACACGACTGCAGGCCATGCTTCGGCAGTCGGTTGAATCACTCCAGTTCCAGTCTGTGAAGGCCTTCTACCTGACCGTGGCTCCCTGACGGGAGGCGAACCCGAACGCCTAGCATCATCACGGTGTCGCTGGCTCCCATCGTGACCAATGGCCAAACAGCGCAGCCCCGGGCCCATGTCCAACCTCACTTCGCAGATCTCTCGCGCAGCACCTGCATCGTTTAAGTTCCAAATGCACGCCACGGCCATAGCGCGCAAGTTCACACCACCTGCAAGGAGCGCTGTATGCCCGGGGAGAAAGGCCAGTGCAGCAACAGCAGCCCCGGGCAACGAGAAAGTGAGATTGGCCTTTGTGGCGCCTTGTCGACTGATCCAACAAGCCAAGCCAACGACCGTCTTGTGAGAGTGTACGCCTGGACCTGCTGCCGCCACCACTCCACTCGTGGGGTCGTCACCCTTGGCCGCCACGGCTTGCAAAGTGTGCGCGTGCTCTTCAGTGCACAGCTCCTCGTCCGGTAGCCGAAAGGCCTGCAAATAGAATGCATCACGGCGGCTCACTGCTCTATCACAGCAACGCAGGCAAACCGAAGCCATCCGCCTTCATGATGCCTCCACCCTGGAAACAAGCCACCAGAAGGTCACCATCCAAGGCCACGTTCTCTGCGACCCATTGTCCCGCCACTCCGCTCACCTGTGCAAACACGTCATTTAGAACGAAGCCTTCCACAGTGCAACTCCGCACCTTTTGTCGAGTCATGTCACCGATTTGCCAGATGGACAGTCCCCTGTCGCGGGATTTCAGCCAAGCATGGCCCGGGAGATGAAACTAGGCCCCTAGGCCTCGACCGCGACCTGAAGCAGAGCAGCAAAGACAGAGAGAATATCGACGCATCGAGCAGAGATACTGACATGTCCCGCCGCCAAGCCTGGCCCCCTCCGCAGCTCCCGCTGCCTGCAGCTAGGCGTACCATGGCGTACACAGCCCACTACAGAAAATTTACTTAAATGCAATCCGGACACCGAGATCGTCGTGTCCACCGTCGGGGTTTTGGTGGGGCTGGCATCCAGAGATTGTGCCATCGATGGCTTCAGATCTGCCCCTGCCACCTGCAGTGACCGAACACGTCATATCACGGCACAAACGACGGCGACAGCACTCACTTGGCCAGGAACTGCGAGGAAGTTCCCGGTGTCAGAGCAGGCAACCACCGGTCTGGCGCGGGAGCTCCCGCAGGGAATCCATGTGCCACCACCGGAATCTCGGTCAAAAACAGCACAGTGCGCCGGCGCACGGCCGGTCCTGAGCAGGAGATGCAAGACAGATGAGGATGGACGGATGCTCAAAGAGATGCGAGGCACCGTTGAGATCGGAAGCCCACCGCCACCCAATGGCAACCGTCTGCGGCAGCAAGTAGTTGTGGGGTCTCATTGTTGAAGAACCACCTGGCGCATCTCGCCCGTATTTGGGAGTTAGCATTTAAGGCTTCTGGCAAACCCCGATCGCTGAACCTCCGCAGAAGAGCTCCAGACTCTGCATTCACCAGTCCAACCTTGTCTTGGTCTTCGGTTAAACTCACACTGTTGTCGTCGGGTGGACGGCGTATGGTACCTTATAAGTCTTCGGACTTGCTGCAAATACCAAGAGCACTAGCGTTGTGATCATCTCTGGAATGTAAATGCTGAAAACTACACAAGACACGAGAAATGTGAGAGAAGTTTGTGAGCAAATAGCAATAAAACTGCAGTGGTTCCCATGACATCTATTGGTTTATCCGACATTCCATGTATTATTTCTCGCTAATTTCTCGCAAATTCCTCGCTCATTCACTCATCCGCTCGCAAACTAACCGCAAGCAAACCACTAATTATTGATTTGGTGGTGGCCTAGTATTTACGTGCTGTGAAGGTCACAACTCACTAGTGCATCACGGGAGCAGACTTTGTCTGGGTGAGCGCCACGACGAGCATGGAGGAGTCAAGCCAACACAGGGCCGGAATGCTCGAGTTAAGTGGCACCTCTTTTGCCCGCCATAGCCTCTGCTACAAGCATGACTCTGCCTTCTTGCTGGAAGCTCTATCGCTCGCATCCCAAACTTACAACAGATTCCGGCAAGGCAGCTCTTGCGTCTCGAGGCTCCACACTGAAAGAGTGCTGGAATGCTCCAACCAGCGCTGCGATCGCCGTTTGTGGGAGCCCATGGCGCCTGACCGCCCATGCAGGGTCTGCACGTGCACAAACTAGGAAGACGACATGGGGTGCCTTCGACGGTTTCCATTAGGTTGCCCGCGAGCTGACCTGCAGGGTGAACTGGTAGTGGGAGGTGTGGACGACACAGCAAAGTGTCCAAGGATATCCTAGAGCAGTCGCACGAACGTTGCGCCCTTCTTAGCTGGAGAGACTGATCCAAGCGGGTCTTTGTAGTGAGGAGACTGCGCATGGCCTGCTGTGCCATCGCCCCTCTCGCAGCCCACCGCCAGCAGCGTGTTGTCTGGAGAAGCCGCAGCGCACAACACACGGCTGTTGCCAAGATCCAATGTCTGCAGGTTCAAATCCGGGGGCTGCAAGCGAAGAAGAACCTTTGTGCATGCATTGGCAGGGCCGAAGGGAATGACAAGCTTCGGCGGCTCCATTGACAGAGAAGCCACTCGCTTTTTCTGCAGCATAGTTTCCACCTCGTCCTTGCTCCGCGGCAGTTGCAGATGCAGGGATTTTCCCATCGTCGTCGGGTCAAGTGATCGCCAACCAGCAAGTAGCCAGCCTTCCAAATTGCAGCATGTTCCGTCAATATCTCTACCAAGCCGTCTATGAACGCAGAGATCCCCGTGCGTCGGGACCTGCTGGCAGAACATGTATGGCGCAGCGACAGGTTGATGCGTTCATGCATGGTGCCATGAATAAATTCTCATGGACACGTGACAAAAAACACTAGCCTTCAACATGACCACAAGGGAGGCTAAGTGGAACCTTTCTTTTGTCTGCGCGACTGACAAAGGCCGCACATCTACTTGGTCAGTAAGGAAAGCGGAAGGGGCGGCTTCTTTGAACTTCTTTTCAAAATCGCTACGACCGTTTGGTTGCTTCTCACGGCAATGTGTCTACATGTCAGGCTTCTTGTCCCACACCGGACCGGCAGAAGCGCCATGGCAACCTTCACGAGTATAGCCGGTGCCTGAGGCGCCACGTACTCCCAGCTGGTGTGCCAGGCCCCCTTCATGGACAGCAAGAACCTGTGTATGTCAGTCTGAAAGAAATCGTGTGCTCGGCGACTTCTCTCGCGTATTCTATGCGAAGTCGGACGAAACAGCTAAATCTTCCCCGACATGATCGTGCACAGTGTATCCCTTGGCCTGCAAACTCTCATTCTCCACCGAGAATGACAAGTCATGACCTCAAACCGATAGATTGGCAAAAGGTAGAATTGTGATTTTTGTCACTGGTGCAGAATGTCGGTCGCACATCTCACGAATGAAATTCTGAATGAGTACTGATGTCTCATGCTGCAGACAAGTGCGCTGGGAATTTCGTCCCAGTAGATGGCATCAATTTGCCGTAAATCGCTGGCTCCGGCATCTCGCCCATGCTTTGAGGCAGTTGACCGGCCTTGCAAAAACCGAGACTTCCAGCGAAGTCGGGGCAGCTTGGCCGGTGCCTTCAAGTCCCCAAAGTAGGACGCGTCGATCTGCCGCAAGTATAAGATGTTCCGAGGCGACTCCTTTCCAGCGGCCGGACGACAGGCAGTGACAGGCATACACCGCCGAGTTTGCACACAAGGTCATGAGGTCCTGTGGAAGAGAGGGAGTGACCAATACAGTGCATCTCCATTTTTGGAAGGACCAGGCGGCACTCTTCCAGAAGCGTATCGGCCTGAAATCGACCGACGGCACATACTCCCAGCACAGTAACCCCGGCAGCCTGCGCATGTATGTACCCTGTGTGGCCTTCCTTGTGCCGAGGAACATCGAAGAGAACAACAACGGTGCACAAAGGCCCCGCCGAAGCTGCAACTGCGATTCGAAAACCACTGTTGCAGAAACACATAGATCGGAGGCCCCATTCACGCCGAATGGCTGGGATCAATTCGCCTTTCAGTGTGACTGTCTTGCATTGGGTGGCTGGGTTCTTGCAAAGCTGCAATCATGCGCGCCTACAGAAAATTTACGGCCAGAGGAGTGGACGCTCCAAATGGTGATGCAACAGCTCTCCACTCCTTTAGAGCCTTGGCTTTTGCATTCCCAGCACAAAGCACTTGAAGCGCGAAGGCAACAATGATGGGCACAGGTGCGACTTTGCCGATCGCGGAGACCCTGGAGCCGACTGTCTCTGCCTCTGCTTTCGACCCAGACGAAGGTTGGAAAGGAAGAGGGCTTCACTTTGACCAAGGTGGGAATTTTTGAACCAAGGCTCCACCCCCAGTGGCCACAGCAAAGCAGCCACCGCCTGGTCCCCAGCAAACCTCTACCAGCGGCTGCTGCATCGACAGAGACCATATTTTGTCCGCTGTCTGGCCCTTAGAGAGTTGAAGTGCGGCAACCTTGAAATTGAAGCTCACACTATACTCCAGCACCTGCTTGACAGCACCGAGTCAGCAACCTCGCCGACATTGGGATCGACATCATAAAGTGCCACGGTTCCCGTGCTGTCCTTGCTGTACTTCCGCAGATCATGTGTAACTTGCTGTTAGATGCGTCTGTCTGCTCCTAGCCGAGAAGCACCGACTAGCAGCAAGGGATAATTCGGCCCAGGTCTGGCAGCCAAGCACGAAGCCCTGGCATCCTCCAGCAACAGCTTTAGCATTGACCAAGGTTGCTCAGGGCCCTCTTCCAGCACTCTGAGCACCTGACCTTTGCAAGGACTGGCTCCAAGTAGGTAGCAGGTAATGCTGGGAGGGTCCTCTGGATACTGCGGACGTCGCTTCTGGTTGAGTTGAGTGGAGACTTCGCAGACGTCACAAGCAAATCATATGGTCCCAAGGCCTTCTCTGCAGCTCCACCAATTTCTCTTCATCCGCACTGTTGACTGCTTGGTCCGCCTGTGAGCAAGGAGAAAACCTAGCAGGACCTAGCACATGGCGCCGGTGTTCAGGAGAGCTAAGCTGGCCTGCTGGCGAGAAGATGACAGGTCCGGACGCTGCCACAGAGGCAGGAGAGCCTCTTCTGAACCTGCCAGGCTCCAAGCTCCGTGCTGCTTACGAACACGGTTCGCAGTCGTCCCTACGTGCGCCTTCCAATGTGTCACATGATTCTTGGCAGCATGCAGTTCTCAGGCCATGCCGAGAAACATTATTATTTCAGAATCCGATTCCACAAGAATTCCCACACTTTTGTCTTTAGAAGGACCAAACTGAACAGAAGCTTGTCGTAGAACAGCGCAGTTCTCGACCCACTTGCCAAACATTCCGAACTTCCATGATGCGTTTCATCCGCCTGCATCCTCATCTGGCAAGACAGGCGCACTGCCAGAGCAGCACATGGTAGCAGATGTAACCACAGGCCATGGCCGAATGTTCGCCCTTTCACGGCTGAGCGTCTAATCCGGACAACGTTTCTTTGCGGACATTCTTACGCATGTTTCTTTGTACTTTGTCTTAAGGCTGTAAGACGAGCGTGTATCCAGCAAGGACGTTTGCGATTTTTGGCGCTGGTGAATCAAAGCAAAGATTGCTTGAGGTTCCACGCACCAGCAAGCTGCAGAACCGTGTAGATTGCATGACCCAGCTTCTTTCCCTGACCTCCGCAAAGGATGAAGACAGCCCTGCCTGTGCAGGCAGCATCCAACTGCCGTTGCTGTGCTCCTTCAAGTCAGATTGACTCGAGACCACTTCTGGAGTGCATAGTCTTGAAGTTCCCTTCTTGAACACGCAGAAAAAGCCTTTCTAAGCTGTCCATGCTGTCCTGACTCACACCAGTATTTTGCGACGACAAGCGTCGCTTCAAGATACAGGTCAAGACAGGCTGCCCATTCCTCACCAGGCATAAACAATCGCCGCCGAGTGTTTCTTCAATGACTGGGCAAATCACACCAGAACATCCCCAAAACATCGAATCAGGTGCTCACTGGTCTCGTTTGCAAGCTTGGAGGTTGAGGCGGTCAGCACCTCAGCTTGGCCAATGCCGACATGTGCCGACTTCCGGAAGACATGCACAAAATCCTCGCTGGCGTTGTCAGTGTCGGACCAGGTGGCTTTTCCAAGCGCAGCCTACAAAAGCCATTCGTATATCATGCGAACAACGAATCGAGGACAGCCGGAAGTCAAGCAGCCTGTCATCGAGGCCAGCATCCATCCAAGCAAGCCTCTGCGGCTTCAAGCCTTGACCTGGAGCCTCCAACCTCAGTTCACGGCTTCGACTTGCTGCCGCCGTTTTGATAGCAGGAAAGAAGACTTCCGTTTGAGATCCTTCGACATGCCTGCGACAGTCAAAGGCTAAGCCCTGAGACCGACTTCCTTGACGGACAACGCTTTGACCTAACACTTACGCCAGAGTTCTTGAGGAGCTGGCTGGATCTCTGCCAGCGGCCCCATTTGGCTGTTAATGTACGTGTTACGCAACAGGAGCTCCTTTCGAACAGCTGCCACTCCGAGATTTGAGAGCTCATGGCACATGTCCTCGCACTCCCAGCTGCTCAAATTGCAATCGCTCCAGTCCGAACCTGGGCTGTCTATGGCAATTGCAGCACATTCCAACATGCCAGCAGCAAGAGCGAAAGCGAGCGATGCGGCCAATGCGACAAAAAACTTAGCCCAGGACTGAAGGATTGTTTGGACTGGCTGACCAATCGCCTCACTGGTATCGGGTGCAATTTGGAGGACGCAATTTTGGCCGCCGCAACTTTCAATTGAGCCAAGTGGCCGCTCGAAGCTCAGGAGCTGCTGAAGAAAAGAGGGCTTCAGTTCCAGATCTGGCAAAACTTGGCAGGCTATCTCAGGACGCGATTCAAAGTTATCTGCGCAAGCGCCTGGTCGCCTTGAGCTCAAGAATTCCATGGTCTTCCGAAGGCCCCATGCATATTTCTTCATCATATAGCAAGCCATGACCTCGGCCATGACATTGCATCTTGGATCTGTCTTCGGCCACCATGCGGGGTCTAAGCATCGCACGCAACAGGATCGCGACCTAAGCGCAACAGGAAAATCCGATAAGTTTCGATGTCCACGAATATGGTTGTTTCGGTGGCAACAATTCAGTGCCGCAGGAGCAAAATAGTCTGCACCCAGCGCCGATGACGGAGCCCCACCACCGCTCCAAGCACAGTGTTTACTTCGAAGGACCTTGAAATTGAACCTCATGTGTCGGTGACCTCCCACACCGAAAATGCACAAAAAGGGTGCACAATCATTCTCTTGCGCGCATTCAGAAAAGGAAAAGCTTCGTCGCAAAGCTGAAATGATGCAAACAGTAGTGAAAAAATAATGCTGAGCAGGCGACGGCTTTATCCTGAACCCCTACCACAAACTACGGTACTTACCGCAGTTGCCTAGTTCATGCAGGACAAGGACAACACGAAGGGCCAAGCATGGTGATCTGTAGACGTGGGGGCTCACAGTCACGCAAGCACCGTATCGCAGCTGACTTGCAAAATCCGCCTGCCTGCGACCGTGTCTACACCCCGTTTGCAATGTGCGCCGTGATCCCGAACAACACATGTATCCTCGCAAATACACAGCGGCCTTCTCTTCCTTGATGGTCTGTGTTCATTAACAAGGCAACCACAATGCGTCAAACTTGCAATCGACCTGCTCGAGCATGACCAGTTCATGTTGCTATGCATGAACACATTGCTTGCTAAACCTATTCATGACGATGCAAATCTGATCATCTATGTCTGTGAAATTCCTTGGCCCTTCTTCTGGAGACCCTGCTAACCCGAAACCGCCGATAGAATTCGCGATGGCTGAGATCGGTGCTGTCCTCGGACACTGTGGATCAGCACGCTTTCCGCTGCCTAGCAAGTATGTCACTTCTCTCGTGGGTGACGTTCCAGACCCTATGCTGCTTGCCTCCAGGGCTTGCTCCACGAAGCTGAAGGTTTCGTTGGCGACCACATCACCTAAATTAGTCGGCAAGGGCGGCTACCAAACGCAAACACTGTGTAAGTGTGTGCTCATGCCCGTTTCTGGCGCGCTGTACCGTTCGGGATGTTAGTGCATGGTATTTGGCCTACAAGTGTATTCCCATCCTGGTTGCGACAACATGTGGTCACAGTAACGAAAACTAGAAGGGGTCGGCTGACCCTTTCTATTTTTCTCGTGCGCCTTTCTCCGGCCGCGTGGGGTTGCAAAGCGCTTGTGGCGTTTCCCTACGGAGTTGTCCGCTTGCACCAAACATCCAACGAGGTCGAGCTACCCGTACTCGGCGACCACGTCTACGTCTGCGGTTGACATCGGGTTCCGAGATGGGCGGCACATGAAGCACAGCAGCGCAGTGTTCTTTATATTCGCGAGCCGTCGCTCGGCCCCTGCTGTGGAGCAGCTGGCCAGGGGCCAGCAAGCACGGTACTGACGGAAAGACAGCGCCCAACCAGCGCCTCGCCCACGCAGAGAGCCCGTAGCGGACGAGGTCGCGCACGAACCGCTGCGACCCCTCATTCCACCCGTCCGCCTATCTTCGAGCCGAGGACCAACAGTCTGTGTGCACCTTGTGCGGGCGCTCGGCGACCTTCAACACCGCCCCACCAACCTCGACGGTGCAGGGCTGCGGGTGACCCGGCCGTGTAAAGGGTGACACCAGGGTCGCATCGCAGCACCATAAACCACGAGGTCGAGGCGCCTGCGGTCGTCCGAGGGGACGTCTCGTTCTTTGAAAGGGGGACACCCGGGTTGCATCGCAGCACAGCTCTCCTCCGGTGGCGGTGGCGGCATACAGCAAGGTGGTCGTATGAGTCGTATGCCGCAAACAACGAAGCGGGCATGATGCGAATCTGCGAATGGCGTGGATAGTGAGCGGATGCACATTATTATAAACAACAGCCGCCGTGCGCACGACTAGTGCTAGATCAGGAAGCTTGGGCAACTGGTCGAAGAATTCTTGCTCAGCGCGCAGCCTTGCCGCACGAAGGCCGAGTGCCCCAGCGGCGAGCCAAGGACAAGTGTGCCAATTTGGGCGTCGGGCTTGTCGCTTTGCCACACGTCATTGCCCAGTTCCACGATTCCAGGCAGAAATCGATGGAACGGATCGTGCCGAGATTGGAGGCTTCAATTGCACGGACCGTTGCATTACCCTGAGAAAGCGGTTTGTAATTATGTAATATTGATTGGCTGCTCCTGAAGCCAACACTGAAACAGCACAGTAAAAAAACATCATAATCAATAGCATGTATGGTGGAAAATGCAGCTGCGCAACCATCTCAAAAAAACCAAACCTAATCAATTCTGATCAAATCCATGGCTTGATTACGTATTATTTTTTCATGAATTCGATCAACGGCAGAATCAATGGTCTCATCAAACAACTGCTTGCAAAAAACCAATAAAGCACCACCAAAAGGAAAACAAAATCACTTACTCAAGAGAAGCTTTTTTGGCAAATCATTTTTTAAAATCATTGTCAACCAGAATTCTTATTTTTTTCCTACGCACCTTTTTGAAGCCGTCGACGCGGTCCCAGTGCAACCGGAGCTACAGCCTACGGCGGGCTTCAGGCAGCGTGCGAGGTTGGCGCCGGGAGGCGGCTGATGGTCAGGGGGAGGCTGCCCCGCACATCCGCGAGGATTTCATGCAGTTCCGGCGCCTCACCCGCGACGCAGGCCCTGAGAATCGCTTATTGATTGTA